TGGGCAACTGCACTCACATGTGCACATGATGCACCACACACACACACACATAGACACACAATACTTAATATGTGAAAACATTCAAAGAGTGTGATTTAGAAATAGATTACTATAATTATAATTATTTTTTCCTAAATAACATTTGATATGTTATGAGCATCTACAAGCCATCAAAAATGTTAACTTATCGCTTAGTATTGCTTAACTCTTCTATTGTTTAACTGAAAGTTGCACAAGGCTCAGAATGATGTTTTAGTCAGTACTCTCTCAGCTGAGATAAGGCTATCATCGTCTCTGGTTCAGTGATTACCTTGAAGGAAAGAATGTTAGTTTCCAAACAAGTTCAATTGGTTTTTTTAATGAAAATCAATACTAAATTTTATTGCCGTGATTTCTCAGATACAAATACGAATGCTTGTGAATGTAATTTTGAGCATCATTTAAATTTATAGGTAAATCATCAGCCTACTTCAGGTCTCATATTCAGCCTTTAAAGAAGACGCTTAGAACAGCAAACAGGCAGCCCTGAATTCTGAGATTTAACTTGATGTTATTGTTGCTATAGTTACAGCTGAAATCTTACATAAAACAAATTACTTATTGATGGGAAATGCTGAGCAGCTCTGCAGAATCCCTTTTCTGTTTCTCTTTTTATTGCTTTCATTTCCTAGTCCCCTCTTAAGATTAATGGATTTTCGTATTATTGTTCTGTTTTGAACAAGCTTTGATGACTTGATGTTAAAGTAAATACATTTTACAAACATGTTCTAGCTGACAATTGAATGTGCTTGAATATACTGTGATCATCAAAGTTATTTTTACATGCTTCTTCCTTATCAAAATTTTCCCTATCTGGAGATACATTTTTATATTCTAATAAGTGATAATAAAGAAGTAAATAAGAATGTGATTATTTTTATAATATGAAGGTTTCTGGCTTTGTTTTCTTTAATCATAGCATAGATGAAAATCTTTTCTTGTAGGTTGTTCCATTAAAGGATACTAACAAGAGTATCCTCAAAATAAAACATTAAAATCTGCAAAATGTATAAAAAAAATTGTCTTAGTTAAGGTTTTTATTGTTGTGAAGAGACACCACGACCACTGCAACTCTAATAAAAAAAAGCATTTAATTGGGGTGGTTTACAGGTTCAGAGGTTTATTGCATCATCAGGGTGGGACATGGGAGAGTGCAGGCAGACATGGTGCTGAAGAAGTAGCCAAGAGTACTGCATCTTACAGACAGCAGGAAGGGATCTAAAACACTTGGAGGTGTCTTGAATGTAGGAGACCTCAAAACCTGCCCCCACAGTTCCTCCAAGAAGGTCAGACCTCCTAATAGTGCCAGTCCCTTTGGGGCCATTTCCCTTCAAACTACCACCTACCAGTCACTGACCGCCCCCCAAAGACTCGCAGCCGTATCGTGGTTCAAAACTGCGTTTAGTTCCACTTCAGAAGTCCTCGTAATATAAAACAGTCTCAAACTTGTTGCAAAGTCCAAAAGCTCTTCCGAGACGTATAGCTGTCTCTTAACTGTAAATTCCTCTATAAAAGCAAAGGCAAAAAGGAAATTTTTTTCCAACAGATTTCCAACATATAATGACACAAAATGTACATTACCATTTCAAAATGTATGGAAGGGAGCATCGTGAGGAAATACTGAACCAAAATAAGACCAAAAAGCAGCTGGGCCAACTCCAAACCCTGAATTCCCATGTCTGATGTCAAAATGCTCTTCAGATCTCCAACTCCTTTCAGCTTTGTTGACAACACACTTCTTTCCCTTTGGCTGGTTCCATTCCCTGCTAGCAGCTTTCCTCGGCGGCAATTCTATGACTCTGGCACCGCCAACATCTTGGGGTCTCCTAGGCAATCCATGCTTTGGTTCACAGCTTTAGCAGTGGCCTCTCTAGGCCTCCATTCAAGAATGCCGCTGACACATTCCTGACCTCAGGGGCATTTCTTAGTCTCTCCCTTAAGAGAAACGAACAAACCAAGAGTCAAATTTGTATTAGCAAACAACTACTGAGGATGGGGCCTGCCCCACAGTGTGGTTGATACACACAGTGTCACCCCTTTGAAGTAACTTCTCCCCACGTTTATCCATCATGAACACCTTCTCGGGCAGGGTTAGAATTTATACTTACTTCCTCTCTTCTATGCTAGGATTTTTCTGGGCTTGAGTTGCAGGTCTTGTGATTGTTTTCATAGTCTATGTAAGTTCCTAGATGTATCTGCCCTGTTGTGTCTTGAAAATGCTGTCTCCTTGAGGCCATCCATCCCTAAGGCTCTTACAATCTTTCCACGCCTTCTTCTGTACAGATCTCTGAGCCCTGGCTTCAGAAGTGTGATATGGATACCGTATATAGGACTGGGCATTTCAAAGTCCTTATTCTCTGCGCATTGTCCATTTGTGGCTTTCAGTGTTAGTTACTATACGAAGAAGCTTCTCGGATGAGGGTGGAGAAGTGCATATAGAAGTTCTCCATAGGCATAGCAATATGCCATTAAGAGACAGTTTCTTGTATGTTGTCTTAGCATAATAATAATAATAATAATAATAATAATAATAATAATAATAATAGAGTTCCCCCTAGAACTCATGACTTAGCCAGCCTCAGGATCTCAGCCTTGTTGAGTGTCTGATATAGAATTCAACTTGTGGAGTGTGACAAATCCAACCAAATGTTCCCGATTATCTCCCACCACATTTGTCCTGCATTTGTACCGATTCATCTTGCAGACAGGGGGGTTCTTGCAGGTTTCAGGGTTTGTAGCTGCGTGTTATCTCTGAGAGCTGTTCTACCAAGTGATCACCCGGGACACTGTGGTATAGCCACCACTGCAGCTGGAGAAATGAAGTGTTTTATTTGCCATAGCAGCTTAAATGGATTCACTAAAGTTGGGCTTCTTACCTAAATTTCAAGAAGGTATGAGAATATTGAGTATACCAAAGTTCTTCGGTTTCTCAACAGATTTCTCCCTTTAAAAACAGCCATGTGCTCTCTGGTACTTACCATATACCCAATGTATGACAGCTAAGTAAGAATAATTTCACAAAAAAAATCAGAATTTTTTAGTGGACAAAATGCATGAAGCCTGTATTCCTGTTAGATTAAAAGTCCCCAGCTTATCCACACTGGGACATGTCCCGATGAGAATGCTTCATACACACCTGTGCTTGTGATTTTTAGACTCCTTGTATCAAAACAGCCCTGTGAGACTGCTATTTTTGTCTGTTTTTGAGGTTTTTTTTTGAAACATCAGTTCAAAATATGAATAATGATGATATCTTCAGATGGGCTTCAATCAAGTAATGACTTCTGAGCCATAGCACAGATCAAGACCGGTGCTCTGGAGGTTTTCGCTTTTATTCAGCCCTGTTTGACAAGTGATCAAGTCACTTTCTTTCCCATGACTTGTGACCCAGATTGTTACATAACACTGTAGTTCACACCATAGATGCTTTCGTGGGAATTTAAGAAAGGATTGATATTGAGGGGCCATACACACTAAAAGCAAAGGCGCCCACATGCATCCTACTGTTTTAAGTCAGGGCTTACTGAAAGTAAGGATTCTTTTTATCTTTGTACTTTAGAGGAGAAACTAAGGATCTATAACCCCTAACAAATTACAAAATAGTCAAATATATTAAACACCATTTGTAACGTCTATAAAGAATAGAAAAATAAAAAACAGGGAACAAATGAAACTTTTCTCTGATAGTATTCTGCTGCAGTAAGTGATTTTTCTGCAAGGAATTTAAGCCGAGCACCTGGAGAGAGCAGCCAGGATGAAGAGCAATTTGAAACTGAATTTATCTGGAGACAATGACACATAAGAGAGCAGGCAGGCTTATTTATAGGACCCTCCCACCTTGTTTCTTGCATAATAAATACACATTATATGGTAATGATTAGAAAGAAGCAACATGTACGGCCTTTATCTTTTATATGAAAATACATATAATGGAAGACAAAATACAAAACACAAAAGTCAAGGATAATGTCTGCCCCAACCTCGCATCTGCCTCCCCTGTGGTTGTTTTGCCTTGTGCTCTTTTCAGAAAGTAGTTTTCATGACTTAGATTGCAAAAAACAGTGAGCTGGCTGGTTCTCAGAGTGGTGGGTCCTCTTTTCTTCACTTGGTGCTCTGCTACAAAGACCTCTAGGAAACTGTATTTCATCAGCGCTGAAGAGTGTTCCAGTCTCCTGGGCCTTGAGCAGCAGTCCCAGAAGGAGGCATTTCAGTCAGAAAAACAAACATGCCAAACAATTTGATCTATGACTCTATGCTGCTTAACTGGTGAATAATGTAACTAGTATTAAAAATGGAATCATTTTATTAATTAGAAAGAAGATAGAGAATTTCTCACGAGTGACTCTGGAAAACTCCATGCAACTCAGTGGAAATTTATTTGGTTGAAACCAAGAGATAAAGACTTGCTAAACTAAATTCAAATAACCTTTTTTTAGTTTTAAACAAAAATGAAACATATTATGTAACGTAATTTATTTAAGCAAATTTATGATGGAAATGCTAAGGTTAAGATACTAGGCTTAATGCCAGGCGATGGTGGCACACGCCTTTAATCCCAGCACTCGGGAGGCAGAGGCAGGCGGATCTCTGTGAGTTCGAGACCAGCTTGGTCTACAGAGCTAGTTCCAGGCTTAAAATGATTTTCTTTCAAATTTACAGCTTTCTTTCCAGTGCCAAACTCTAAATAAGTATTTCTCTGGGTCCTCCTTCAGTTTATTTTTCCAAGTGGTGGTGAACATAGAAATTGGTAGTCATTTTAGATTTTGCCCATGTTTATATTTTAAATAATCTTCTTTACATTTTTTCAATGATGCTTGTTCTGATTTAGAACAGAATAACTTTCCCTGTGCCTATCAACAATCAACAGAATAACTAGACATTTTCAGTTTTCATCTTGACTAATGCGCTAAAATAGAAAGTCCGCTGTAATCCTAATCTGTTCGTTGCTGTCCATTTTACAGATTCAAGAATGGCTTTGTTTAAATTGCCAGACGCAGAGAGCAATTTCAGGACAACTTGGAGACACGGGCAAAATGCCTCCTGTATCGTCAGGACCCAAGGCATCTCCTGTGCCTGCCCCTGCCGAACCACCGTCTCAGAAAACACCGAGGGCCCCTGTAAAAGATAAAAAGAAGGAAGCAGAAGTCAAAACTGAAACTGAAAAACTGATTCCAGAAAAAGAGACACCATTAGTTGAGAAGACCCCTGCGACGGTCACCATAGATCAAAAACCAGAAGAGAGCAAAGTAGAGAAAGGCAAAATTTCAGCCTGGAAAGAAAAGAAATCACCTTCTCAAGAGGAAAAACCACTCCCGGAAGATAAAACGAGAAAGAAGCCACTTGACGAAAAGTCGGCACCTGCTGAAGAAAAACCACCCCTTGAAGGAAAGAAGCCAACCCCCGGGGATAAGGAATTACCCCCAGAAGTAAAGCCACTGGCCTTGGAGGGGGAAGAGAAACCTGAAATACTTCAAGCTCAAGCACAAATTCCTGCAGAGCCCACAGCAGGGGTGGCCGCCAAGGCAGGGGGAGGAGAGGGGCAGCCCGAGGCCAGGACTGAAGATCTGCCGAGGGACACACCTCAGACTTTGCCCAAGGAAGCAGGGAGGGAAAGCGGTGCGGAAGGCAGCGCCAAGTCTGACCTGGTGGGGCCTGGCAAAGAAAAACCGGTAAGTTGTTTTTCGTACCGTTGCAGTTCGCTAGGTTTGCTTAGTGCCTCAGCCAGTCACAGATAGGATGGATGTGAAAACCTTTAAACCGTGAATTACGTTTCAGAGAACTCTACTTTTTTTTTTTTTTTTTTTTGCACTTAAGTGAAAAGCAATGGCGTTTTGCCTTAGTCAACTTCCATAAAGCATAGAGACAAAATTCTCTAAATCATATAGAAAAATGAAAAGATTTCCTATAGCTCCATGTTAGTTTTTTTAAATACACAATGGGAGTATAAGTCAGTTTTTCCTCTGTACCTAAAATAATCTATTAATATTTTGTAAGAGGCAAGTTGTTGTTTTTGTTGTTGCTTCGTTTTGATTTTCTTTTTGATAGATTTCTAATCTGCGTTCAGCCACAAAACTCATGGTTTAAAAAAAAAAGTTCATGGTTAAAATCCAGAGTGAAAGTAAATTTACATATTCTTAGTTATTCTAGATTTTTCTCATGACTTAGTGTCATTTGTCTATTATGGAGGATTGGTCATTATCTGCATAGAGTATAGAGTACTACGTACTTCGTATACTCTTCCTTTAGTGAGAAGTTTCAAGAATGCCCCGTTTTAAGTAATATCTGCATAAGCAATTCTGCCATTTTAAAGGAACGCTGTTCTTTCAAAATATATTAATTTTAATTAAAATCCAGTTTTATTATGTTTATATGTGTGTGTGTATATACATACATCAGAATTAAAATATAAGCTTCTTAGAGATCCACAAAATATCTTCTACCTAATTAAATAATTTAATTCATAGAGGACACTGATGAGTCACAGAAAAATTACCTATTGTACATCTATTATAACCGCAAGCAGAAATTACAGTTGCATAATTAGTTTATGGGCGTCTGCTATTTTGTGTTCACCGTGACACATGCCTGCTGACCCATCTGCACCATCTTTCTTTCTCTCTGACCATTTTTTGTGGGTCCCGCATTTGCCATTTTTTATCTTGTTTTTCTTTGCCAGTCTCCAATTCCTCCCCCCCCCCAGAGTTTCCTTCTTTTCTATCCAGAGAAGTCACATGATTAACCCTTAAAATCACATGTGCATATGTGTCTCTAGTCTTGAGTTTCAGAACTGTGTTTTCGTGTATTTTAAGTAGACAGTTTCCCTTTAGACCTCACTGTAAATTCAAGCTCAACATGTTTGGCTAATTGCTCATTTTTCTGTAGAACCCACCTCTCCTTTTGGCTTTCTGTAACGTGACGCCATCATTTGCTTGCCTCTTGTCTTGCAGACACTAATCTGAGGCCAGCTAGGTTTCAATTTCTCGGGACTTGGTCCTCCATACCATTACTGATCATGAGGACATCTCTACGTGATGCTTCCCTTGAGCTTCAGAGTTCGTTATTCTCTTAATGGTTATAAATGCAGACTCCATCGGTTTTCCTGGCACATTTTACTTACTCCTTGTAATGGATCTCATTTAATCATTGTTTTACCTCCATTTGCTGCTACACAAATGCCTTAGCAATACAGGAAGGGTCAGTTCCCTAGTGATACAATTGTGAGTTCTTTGCATTGTAAGTTTTATCAGCAAGTGACCTCTGTGTGTGTGTGTGTTTGTGTGTTTGTGCGTGTGTTATTGTTTTATCTGCCACTAGCCTACTATAGAAAAGGGTTTGGCTGACACTATATGAGTCATATTTCTTCTTTATCAAACAATAAGCTTTAAATCGACAGTAAACAAATGAAGTGATTGCTTTACTATACTGTCTCTTACAGCAGAACTTCCAGTTTTACTTGAGGGTTTTGTAGACCGTGTGAACAAGCAACAGGAAATTAAAGAACACCTCTACTATTGGTCTATTTCCAAAATCAAATTAAAGCTTTCTACCTTGCATTTAAATGCTATCATAAACATTCTCAAGTTTTGTTTTCCCACCTTGAGACATTTGCATAGTGGTCAGGCTGCCCGTACACACAGTGTGTAGTCCTGGCTAAACAGATTAGCTAGGGTTTTTCACCCTGTGATATCTGTCTGCAATATAACTCCCCTGCAAGCCTCACCACCCTCTACCAGTGAGAAATCAAAACCACAAACACTTCAATGTGATTCTTATTTTCAATGTGTTTCTCCCCTCTGGAGCTGTCTGGACTTCTCTGTGTGCCCCTGCAGCGTCAACAGGGAAACCCCACCCGCGTTGCTGTCCTTTGGATGCCATCCCCTCCCCCCACGACTGAAAGTCAACCTCCCCTGCTGCAGAGCGCCCTATATTGACTCCTTTTTGTATTGCCATTTAAAAATCCAAGTAATCCTCCTCATTTGCCTCTTACCACATTCAAGGTTCTTTTTATAAAACCCATTTCCTTCTATCTAACCTACACAAATATTGACAATGTAACCATCATGGTGGTTGTTTTAAAAAATAGGGAAATTGCATTTTATACTCCAAATACAAGTATGCTTGGAGGAAGATAGCAGAGTGAGGATTTTAGTGCGGTTCTGATTATATAAAGCCTCGATTCACAGCCCCTACCTGTGAGTACTTTTCTCCTGTGACACTTCTGACATACGTTCTTTCCTTAGTATCCATCTCTCTTTCTAACTTTTGGCACACTCTTTTGGGCAATTTTCACAGCTTGTATATCTGCACTATTTTATATTCATTTATCAATTTGTAAGTTGTTTTAATATTGTGTTGTTTTTATTTCTTCATTGCTACATCATTCAGTTTCTTTATTCAAATTTCCAAAATGTGTTTATTAAGCAAAATTAAATGAATATATATTAAAATGAGAATATATTTAAATATGATATCTATTTAAAAGTATACCTCTTTAAACTTTTCAGTTTCATATTTTTAAGTCATGTCACTATAATATTCTGTATTTTCACCTATATATCCATGCAGGAAACTTTCCGTCTTTGTTCCATATTCTCTACTGAGAACTGCTGTCCTCCAGATGGAAACTAGAGTTAGCGTAGATTTTAATGTGGGTGAAGGCGTAAGTCACGAACAAGGCCACACCAGTTTGGAGTTATGATTAATAGGGTGTTATTTATTTAAAGGGGAAAACTTACAGATCACCGTCCCAGACAACAGCCATCTGCACAACCAGGAAGGGAGTCTAGTCTCCGGCGGAGCAGGAAGTGAAGAGAGCAAGCAGAGGAAATAGCCGCTTTTTTAAAGGGAGAGAGACCACGCCCCAATGGGCTGGTATCACAGCAGCTATTGGTTGGAGGGGCGGAAGGACCTCCCGCAACATGTGGGCTTTGATTTCTGTTAAAATAGCGGAAGGGCTAATAGTCAAGCTACCTATCAGCATCGAATGCAGTGCCTGCCTTGTTTGTGATTGGAGCGCTTTAGTTTCTCATATTTCTGTCCAACTTGATTGGGGGAGGGGGAGGGAAATGGGAGGTGGTGGCGGGGAAGAGACAGAAATCTTAATAAATAAATAAATGAATAAATAAAAGTTACTCATATTTGCCCTCCATCCTATCATAAACTTTCTATACAGGCTTGAAGACAGGCCCTATGCTCGATCAGCTCATTTAAAATAAAGTCTAGAAAAACCAACCAAGCACTTACAGTTATCTGTCTTTGCACATTTTTATATGAATCCTAGAACTCAATTCCTAACACTTACCATCTTCAGAAACTTCTGTTCTCCTCCAGTGTGGAGTGCCTCTGGCTTCAAGTCAAGTCTTGAGGAAAGAGCACAGACACGCTCGAAAGAACATATGTATTTTTGTGCCTTTTCTCCCACTGGGCTCTCCACAAGGTACAGCAGGGTCAAGAGTTTCAGATGGCGCTGACTCGTGACTGCTTTCTCTCTGACGTGTCGACTGTCCAGTCATGGCTATGGGAGGCTCTCGGGAAAGGGGATGCTCCAATCCCTACTATTTGTTAGTACATTTAAAACCTGAAATTTTGGAGTGGTTATTTTCAATACATAGATTAGCAAAGCTCAAGCAACTAAAGCTCTATGCATGGAAATCATGCCGTATGCTATAGAGCAGTGTGATGGACTGCATGCTGATCACTAGGAACAGACGGACAGCGCTCTCTTTAGGGGAATGAAAGTAACACTGTGATTGTAAAGCTGAGCCTGCAGCGTTACTGACTTTATCAAAGGTGATAAAACTTGCACACAGAAGTAACCTAACTGAAATGGTATTCTCATTTTAGAATTTCGGAGGTGATTCTAAACAGTATTAAGTGTTAAAAGTGAAACAGAAAATACCGATATCAATTTCCTGATGGTTCAAATGAAAAGGAGTGAATTTTTAAAAGTCAGTAACAGTTTATATTTTAGATATTTTATAACATTATATGTGTGTGTGTTCTACGTTATTCAAAAGTATGTTTGTTATAGTCTTATATATAAATATTAATTCACTAAATAGATTAATACTTTTCTTGAAATAAGTATACTGTTACAAATTTTTGAAGCCATGAGAAAAAGTCTCCAATCTTTTAGTCTGATGTAATGAGAAATTGGTGGTAAAATGGCCCACATTATGTTGCCTTCACATGAATCCTTTGACCATATTCTAGTCTGTGGTACTTCAAACACCCATTTTAAAGTTCAATAATTAGAGAAAACAGGATACATCTTACAGACTGTAATCTGCATCTAATTTCCCCTTGTTTATAAGTGTTATTAATGAAGCCGTGTCAAGGACCAGTTAGCTACAAGAAAGACAAATGGTTGCCAAGTCCTGATATGTCCAATTCCTTTTTAAAATGATTAATAGCAGTAATAAAGACTAATTTGTAGGTGCCTTTAATCAGTGAGGCAAAGAACCTGATCACTGGGTGATCTGATGTTTCACAGCTAAACTATGTAGTTAATTAGAACACATTATTATGTGAGATTATATATACCTAAATCTAGTTAATGGGGTAAAAATTACCATTCCAAAGTGTACCCTGGTGAGCACGACTCTCCTTTGAACCTTCCAGTGAGGTGCATTGGAAACCACTAATTGATTCCCCATCGGTCACTCCTACCATATTGTCTACAGAATGAGCCTTTGCACACTTGCTGCCGTTTAATACAGAACAGAGAGAGCAGCGCAGCAGCAGCCTCACCTGACTTGGTGAGGGAAGCCCGTGAAGCGCGTGGGGCAGACAGGACCAGAAGGTCTGATAAGGGAGAACATAGTGCAAAGGAGTGAAGGATGCCTAGGCACACGGGAAAGCCGTACACCGGCAGGAGCAGAGAAAGGATGTTAACGTTTTGTGTTAGCACTTCATGAATTCCCTTTTGCTTTTCTTTGTTACATTCTATGTATCTAGTCTTAAGCTTATTTTTATAAAAATGTCAGGACGGACCTCAAAAATCTGTATTATAAACTATCAGAATTAACTTATGGAAGATCATATTTTGGCTGATTTTCCTCCATAACCATGGTGTCTGCTGTGAATGATGGGAGGCAGCATTAACTAATGAAGTCATCCGTTGAGACTCTCTTGTGCTTCCCAGCCCTGCTCTGTGTCGTCTTGTGGGATGCGGTGAGGTAGTGCTGTCCACTCAGGAAGACCGTGTATTAGCGGACCGCTGTGATGGCAGCCTGTTTGTTTTGTCTCTGTTGTTCTATAAGGAGAGAGAGGAAGGAGATTTGGGTGGGCGAGGAGGCAGGAGAAATCTGGGAGGATGTCAGAGTCAGAATTACTGTTGCTGTGATGAAACACCGTGATCAAAAAACTTGGGGAGGGCAGGGTTTATTTCAGCTTACACTTCTAAGAACATTATCACTAAGGGAAGTCAGGACAGGAACTCACACAGGGCAGGAACCTAGAAGCAGGGGCTGATGCAGAAGCCATGGAGGGGGGTCTGCTTACTGGTTTGCTCCCCATGGCTTGCTCAGCCCAGGACCACTAGCTTAGGGATGGCCCCACCCACAATGGGCTGACCTTCCCCCATCAATCACGAGTTAAGCCTTACAGCTGGGTCTTATGAAAGCAATTTCCTCAGTTGAAGTTCCCTCCTTTCAGATAACTCAAGCTTGTCTCAAGTTGAAATAAAGTTATTCAGCGCAGAGGAGTTGGAAGAGGAAAATCCATAATCATATATTTATGAAAAACTTTTCAATTGAATTAAAAAAAAAACAACACACACAAGAGAGGAAAGGGAGGAGGGAGAAAGAGAGATTGCTTGCTGTATGATGATGACAAGAATCCATGTTCAGACTGCAGCACCCATGTAAGAAATAAGTGTGGCCTTGTACACCTGTAGCATCAGTCCTGGGGTAGGGAGTTGGGACAGGACTGGCAGGGACAGGAAGATTTCTTGGGCTCACTGGTCATCTAGCATAGCCAAAAACAGCAAGCTCCAGGTCCAGTGAATGACCCTGTCTTAAGGGAACTAGACAAAGGATGATAGAACACCCAATGTTCTCCTCTGCCGTCCAAGGATGGACAGACGAGAGACAGACGCATACAAACATGAGAGAAAGAGACAGAGACAGAGACAGAGACTGACTTTTTCTTTTAAACCATTTGAACTTCATCACAAAATAAATTTATTGATACAGATAATGTATTTGAAGGAAAGTGAAATTAAAATGTAAAGGGGCCTCGTGAAATTAATGAAAGAAAATCAAGTGAAATTGAGAATTAATATGTAATTTAAATTTAGTTTAAATGAAAACTAACCTAAGTTAGTGAATATCAACTGTTCTCAATTTTGTTCTCATACAAAGATTTTTTTGAAAATACCATCTTATTCCAGGTGGTGGTGGAAAACACATTTAACCTCAGCACTCCAGAGGCAGAAGCAGAGGCAGGCAGATCTCTGTGAGTTCGAGGCCAGCCTGGGGTATAAAGCAAGTTCCAGAATGGGCTACAAGGCTACACAGAAAAACCCTGTCTCAGAAAGCAACAACAACAATTACACCAAGAAAACAAAAACTATCATCACATAGCTGAATTTTTCCATATTTATTCCTCAATTATTGATGGTTATTTAATAATAATGGTGAATGGTGAAGCCTCGTGATTAGTTCAACTCTAATACATTTGCCTGTGATTTTTCCCCTCCACTAGGAAAAGGAAGAGGACAAGTCCGACACCTCCAGTTCTCAGCAGCCCAAGAGCCCACAAGGTCTGAGTGACACAGGCTACTCTTCTGATGGAATATCAGGTTCTCTTGGTGAAATCCCAAGTCTTATACCAAGCGATGACAAAGATTTGCTCAAAGGACTCAAAAAGGACTCTTTCTCACAAGAAAGCAGCCCTTCCAGCCCCTCGGACCTAGCGAAGCTGGAAAGCACAGTACTATCCATATTGGAAGCTCAGGCGAGTACACTGGGTGATAAATCAGAAAAGAAAGCACAGCCCCAGAAGGTTTCTCCTGAGCAGCCTCAGGAACAACAAAAGCCTCAGACCCAGTCTGAAATGCTGGATATTACTCTTTCAGAAGAAGAGGTCAAAGAGAGCCAAGAAAAGAAAGAAAGTTCCAAAAGGGATAGCCAACAAGGCTTTCCTTCCAGGAAGGACCATAAAGAAAAGCCTGAGCTGGTTGATGACCTAAGTCCAAGAAGAGCATCCTATGATTCCGTGGAAGACAGCAGCGAAAGTGAAAACTCCCCTGTCGTACGTCGAAAGCGGCGAACTAGTGTTGGCTCCTCAAGCAGCGATGAGTATAAACAGGAAGACAGCCAAGGTTCTGGGGAAGAAGAGGACTTCATACGAAAACAGATTCTCGAAATGAGTGCGGATGAGGATGCTTCTGGCTCTGAAGACGATGAGTTCATCAGGAGTCAGCTCAAAGAGATTGGCGGTCTTCCTGAGAGCCAGAAAAGGGAAGAAGCCAAAGGCAAAGGGAAAAGCACAGTGGGGAAGCACAGACGACTGACTCGCAAGAGTACCACTAGCTTTGATGATGACGCAGGGAGACGTCATTCCTGGCATGACGAGGACGATGAAACATTCGATGAAAGTCCTGAGCTCAAATTCCGAGAAACTAAAAGTCAGGAGAGCGAAGAACTTGTCGTTGCTGGAGGCGGAGGGTTACGTCGTTTTAAGACGATCGAACTCAACAGCACGACAGCAGATAAATACTCCGCCGAGTCCTCTCAGAAAAAAACAACTTTGTATTTTGACGAAGAGCCTGAATTAGAAATGGAAAGCCTCACAGACTCACCCGAGGACAGATCTAGAGGAGAGGGGTCCTCTAGTCTCCACGCATCCAGCTTCACTCCTGGCACGTCCCCTACATCGGTGTCGTCACTCGATGAGGACAGCGACAGCAGCCCCAGCCACAAGAAAGGGGAGAGCAAACAGCAGCGCAAAGCGCGGCACCGGACACATGGCCCTCTCTTGCCCACCATCGAAGATTCTTCGGAGGAAGAAGAATTGCGAGAGGAAGAAGAATTGCTCAAAGAGCAAGAGAAGCAGCGGGAATTAGAGCAGCAACAAAGGAAGAGTTCTAGTAAGAAATCAAAGAAAGACAAAGATGAACTTCGAGCTCAGAGAAGGAGAGAAAGACCCAAGACGCCACCCAGTAATCTCTCTCCCATTGAGGATGCATCTCCCACGGAAGAATTGCGCCAGGCGGCAGAAATGGAGGAGCTCCATAGGTCCTCTTGTTCTGAATACTCACCTAGCATAGAATCCGACCCGGAAGGATTTGAAATAAGCCCTGAGAAAATAATAGAAGTTCAGAAAGTTTATAAATTGCCCACAGCTGTGTCTTTGTACTCACCCACAGATGAGCAATCTGTGATGCAGAAAGAAGGTGTTCAGAAGGCGCTGAGGAGCGCCGAAGAGATGTATGAAGAAATGATGCAGAAAACCCACAAATACAAGTCCTTCCCAGCTGTAAACGAGCGAGACGAAGTGTTTGAAAAAGAGCCGCTGTATGGGGGCATGTTAATAGAGGACTACATTTATGAATCTTTAGTAGAGGACACATACAATGGATCTGTAGATGGCAGCCTGCTCACCAGGCAAGAAGAACAAAACGGATTTCTGCAGCAGAGAGGGAGAGAGCAAAAGATAAGACTCCCCGAACAGATTTACGATGATCCTATGCAGAAAATTACAGACCTCCAGAAAGAGTTTTATGAGTTAGAAAGCTTACATTCTATCGTGCCTCAAGAAGACATAGTTTCGAGCTCGTATATCATTCCAGAAAGCCACGAGATAGTGGACCTGGGCACCATGGTAACTTCTACCAGTGAGGAAAAGAAATTATTAGATGCTGACGCTGCCTACGAAGAACTTATGAGGCGGCAGCAGATGCAGGTAACAGATGGATCCAGTCCTCCGCAGACCACCATCGGGGATGACATGACAGAGTCCACTATGGATTTTGACAGGGTGCAAGATGCATCTTTGACATCAAGCATCCTTTCTGGAGCATCTCTTACAGACTCAACCAGCAGCGCCACTCTCTCTATCCCAGATGTTAAGATAACCCAACATTTTTCAACAGAAGAACTTGAAGATGAATATGTAACTGATTATACCAGAGAAATTCAAGAAATAATTGCCCATGAGTCACTGATATTGACCTACTCCGAGCCTTCAGAAAGTGCTGCGTCTGTCCCCCCGTCCGACACACCTTCTCTTACGTCATCGGTTTCTTCCGTCTGCACCACCGACAGCTCCTCACCTGTCGCTCCCCTGGACAGTGTAACCGCGGCTTATACAGAGCCAGCGGGAGGAATAACTAAATTTGAAGACTCTGAGGAAATTTCTTCCTCCACTTATTTTCCGGGCAGTGTCATAGACTACCCAGAAGACATAGGCGTGTCCTTAGATCGGACCATCATGCCTGAAAGTAGAACGGATGGTGACCATGCTGTGATTTCCTTCTCTAGTATGACCCCTTCTGTCACAGAAACTGTAGGACCTAAAGCTGGCAGGCCACACGCTGACACCGTGTCCACGGACTTACCTACATCTGAAAAAGATCCCATAAAAGGCAAGACAGAAACTGGGGATGGAATTATTCTAGAGGTTTTGGATGCTTACAAAGATAAAAGGGAAGAGTCTGAGGCTGAATTCGCAAAAATCAGCTTACCTGAAACTGGGTTGGTCCAAACACCTCATTCCGTCATAGCCCCGCAGATGAAAGAACAGCCTGTATCTCCATATCCTGTATCTGGAAAGGTCTCGGGTCAGGAAAAGCCCACATATAGGTTACCATCAGCTGGTCCTCCTGTTTCTACCCACCCACCTAAATCTCATCCATTTTTCCGAAGTTCTTCTTTAGACATATCAGCCCAGCCACCCCCTCCTCCCCCTCCACCTCCTCCACCTCCACCACCACCTCCTCCTCCTCCTCCTCCTCCTCCACCATTGCCCCCAGCAACTTCACCTAAGCCAATCATTTATCCTAAAAAAAAATTGGCCACTCAAGCTCCAGTGACTCCAACGACTATCTCTACAACCCACATTGATGTTGTTACTACAGTGGAGGTCACAGCCGCTCGGAGGAGTAATGGGCTACCTACCACCAAAGTATGTGCCGCCGCACCGCCTCCTGTCCCTCCGAAGCCTGCTTCAATTCCAACTGGACTTGTGTTTACACATCGGCCAGAACCAATCAAACCTCCAATTGCCCCCAAGCCAGTAGTTCCTCAGATTCCGGTAACTGCACCAAAAACAACAGACACGTGCCCCAAACCAACAGGTCTGTCTTTAACTTCAAGTATGTCCCTGAATTTAGTGACTTCAGCAGATTACAAACTGCCTTCCCCTACCTCCCCACTTTCCCCACATTCCAATAAATCCTCACCAAGGTACTCTAAGTCTCTAATGGAGACGTACGTGGTTATCACATTGCCCTCTGAACCTGGGACTCCAACAGATTCTTCTGCTGCCCAAGCCATTACCAGCTGGCCCTTGGGATCACCCCCAAAAGATCTAGTTTCCCTTGAAACAGTGTTTTCTGTAGTTCCTCCTATGACAACTACGGAAATTCCAAGTTCTTCACAGCCAGCCCTGTACGCACCAGGAGCTTTGGAGACCTTTTCTTCTGCCCCTATTGTGACACCGTCTCTATTTCAAGGAGCTCCAACATCACTTACACAGTTCCTTCCAACAGAAGGATCAAAAACCCAGGTTTCTGCGACCGGAAGCACAGCCCCCAGCATCGCTCCCAGAAGTGTTTCCATACCCATTCCGCCAGAGCCTCTTGCTCTAGACAGGCGTCCGTACAAGGAAAATGGAAAGTTGCCACTTACTGGTGATGCCATTGATTTACGAACAATACCAAAAACAGAAGCTAAAGCAGCTGAAAAATGTATGGATCTTTCTGCCTCTGCCATGGAGGTGAAAAGGCAGACCACGACAAATGAAGTTTATGGGCGACAAATTAGCGCCATCCAACCTTCTATCATAAATCTCAGCGCGGCTGCCTCTTTAATAACTCCAGTCGGCCTAGACTCGGAGACAGTGGCGGTTGTCACATGCACCGATACCACAACTTACACAACAGTCACGGGAAGCCAAGTGAGCGGAGAGCGTGCAGGGGCAGTACCGCTCCAGCTTACCGTCTCGAAACATACTGAGTCACCCTATAGGATAGCAGGCGGCCAGACATTTCCCACGATCAGAGACGAAGCACCAATCAACTTATCGCTGGGTCCCTCCGCTCAGGCAGTGACATTGGCGGTGACGAAGCCTGTCACTGTGCCCCCTGTCGGTGTCACCAACGGATGGACTGACAGCATCGCATCTCAGGGGATCACAGACGGAGAAGCGGTAGATCTCAGCACGTCCAAGTCTCATAGGACAGTTGTCACAATGGATGAGTCTACTTCCAATGTGGTGACCAAAATAATAGAAGACGACGAGAAGCCTGTTGATCTGACCGCGGGAAGAAGGGCTGTGTGCTGTGACATGGTTTATAAGCTGCCTTTTGGAAGGAGCTGCACAGCGCAGCAGCCTGCCACTACCCTTCCTGAAGACCGCTTCGGTTACAGGGACGATCACTATCAGTATGATAGATCAGGGCCGTACGGTTACAGAGGGGTTGGTGGAATGAAACCCTCCATGTCTGACACTAATTTGGCAGAAGCTGGACATTTTTTCTATAAAAGTAAGAATGCTTTTGATTACTCTGGAGGCGCTGATGCAGCCGTAGATCTAACTTCAGGGAGAGTATCTACAGGTCAGTATGACATAGCCACAGACACTGCCTTGAAATGCCATTACGGTGTTCTGCATCTCGTTTCAGGATGAGAAAAATACCCCTACTCTGGTTTCCTTTACATTTTTGCTTTCTTTGGATGTCTTGGCAATTATATTTTACAGTACACGCGCATTTTTTGTTTCTTCGTGGTTCTTGCTGTTGTCGTTGTCTGCATGTGCCTGCATGTCCAACATTGCTTTTTCCTCCGCACCTAACTAGGTTAACCTGTGGATTTGCATGCCGTCCCCTTCATTGCGTCCACCGAGATAAAAGGGCTTTCAGACCCAGACAGCATCCTTCATTCTGAGAACTGGACTATAACTCTACCCTGTATTTCAGGTGAGGTAATGGATTATTCAAGCAAGACTACAGGTCCATACCCAGAAACACGCCAAGTCATTTCAGGAGTTGGGATTAGTACCCCGCAGTATTCCACAGCGAGAATGACTCCTCCTCCAGGACCGCAGTATGGAGCGGGAAGTGTTCTGAGGTCATCTAATGGTGTTGTCTATTCTTCGGTAGCAACTCCGATCCCCGCCACATTTGCTATCACCACTCAGCCCGGCTCCATTTTCAGCACCACGGTCAGGGATTTGTCGGGCATTCACACAACAGATGCACTGACTTCACTCTCAGCCCTGCATCAAAGCCAGCCAATGCCTCGGTCGTATTTCCTAACAACGGGTGCATCCGAAACAGACATCTCAGTGACCGGCATTGACATCAATGCCAGTCTGCAAACGATGACTATGGAAACTCTCCCTGCTGAGACGGTGGACTCTGTCCCTGCTTTCACCACAGCATCGGAAGGGTTCTCTGAGGTGGTAGGAGAGGAAAGCACTCTTTCAATGGTCTCTGACGAAGATAAGCAGCAGCAGCAGCTTGACTTGGAGCGAGAGCTCCTGGAGCTGGAGAAAATTAAGCAACAGCGCTTTGCTGAGGAGTTGGAGTGGGAACGTCAGGAGATTCAGAGGTTCCGAGAGCAGGAAAAGATCATGGTTCAAAAGAAGCTGGAGGAGCTGCAGTCTATGAAACAGCACCTCCTATACCAGCAAGAAGAAGAGCGGCAGGCCCAGTTCATGATGAGGCAGGAGACGCTAGCTCAGCAGCAGTTACAGCTTGAGCAGATTCAGCAGCTGCAACAGCAGCTACACCAGCAGCTCGAGGAGCAGAAGCTCCGCCAGATCTACCAGTACAACTATGACCCCTCTGGAAATGCCTCTCCGCAAACCACCACTGAGCAGGCCATGTTGGAGGGTCAGTATGCTGCTCCAGAGGGCAGTCAGTTTTGGGCCACCGAAGATGCCACCACCACAGCTTCTACCGTGGTGGCCATTGAAATACCCCAGAGCCAAGGATGGTACACTGTTCAATCCGATGGGGTGACTCAGTACATCGCTCCGCCCGGCATCCTGAGTACTGTTTCAGAGATACCTCTGACGGATGTTGTGGTAAAAGAGGAGAAACAACCAAAAAAGAGAAGTTCGGGAGCTAAAGTTCGGGGGCAGTATGAAGAGATGGGGGAAAGTCTGGCAGACGATCCGCGGAACTTGAAAAAGATAGTGGACAGCGGCGTCCAAACTGACGACGAAGAAACTGCTGACCGGAGCTATACCAGTAGAAGGAGGAGAACTAAAAAGAGCGTGGATACCAGTGTCCAGACTGATGACGAAGATCAGGATGAATGGGACGTGCCTTCTAGGTCAAGGAGAAAAGCCCGTCCGGGGAAGTACGGAGACGGCAGCACCACAGAGGGTGACAAGACCAAACCCCTCTCCAAAGTCTCCAGTGTAGCAGTTCAGACAGTCGCAGAGATATCTGTGCAAACTGAACCAGTGGGAACCATAAGGACACCTTCCGTACGAGCGCGGGTGGATGCCAAGGTAGAAATAATTAAACACATTTCAGCACCTGAAAAGACTTACAAAGGGGGCAGTTTAGGATGTCAAACAGAAACAGATTCAGACACACAGAGCCCTCCTTATCTGGGTGCCTCCTCTCCACCCAAAGACAAGAAACGCCCAACACCTTTAGAGATTGGGTACTCCTCAGCTCACCTTCGGGCAGACACCACAGTCCAGCTGGCTCCTTCCCCACCCAAATCTCCCAAGGTCCTCTACTCACCCATCTCCCCACTGTCACCAGGCAAAGCATTAGAATCAGCCTTTGTACCTTACGAGAAACCCCTCCCTGATGACGTAAGTCCACAGAAAGTACTCCATCCAGACATGGCTAAAGTGCCCCCAGCAAGTCCTAAGACAGCCAAGATGATGCAGCGTTCTCTGTCTGACCCCAAGCCTCTGAGTCCTACAGCGGACGAGCGTTCCAGGGCTCCTTTTCAGTATTCCGAGGGCTTCACGGTAAGAGGGGTTCCTTTCAGTTAGAAGACAATGGATGCGTAGATGTTAATCGTGTGTTTGCAGACTTAGAAGGTAACAAAGCTAGCGCGTAGAAAATGAAAGACTGAAATCGAGGGAGGACTATTGCGTTATAAATGTGTGTGTCAGGGTGGGGAGGACCTCATTCTCTTAAAAATGCCAACGGGGGGGGGGGAAGGTTTATTCTAATATTAAGATCTCTGACTCATCGACCAATTTTAGTGTGTTCAATTAATATTCATTTCCCCACCTGATGGGATAAAATATTGAATATAAGTAAACAAGGCAAAGGATGAAGCATGACCATGCATTTAGACCAGGAGTGTTAGGACTCATGACTGAGTGCTGGTGAAATAAACGTGTGAAGTCAGTCTCTTCTTCCAGTCAGGATATTGGCCTTAAAAGCTTAGCATAAGCTTATTGCCCAAGATGTGAACAGAAGAAAGTAAGGCCCAGTTCATCCAAGTTTACTATGTTTGGGGCAACTTCCTTAAACTAACCTCAGATGAGCCTTACTACAAATGCCGATAGAAGCATAACTAATGTGTATGTTTGTTTCAATAGAGATCATCTTTGAGGTATAACTGTGTCTCAAGGGAAGAAACAGATAAATATGTTGTACATATAGACATAAATGAAGATGAGAAATGTTGATTAACCACAATAGCAGGCATATTGTAATTAATAAAATCATTTATACATGGTTTAACTATCAGTTCAATTTGGAACAAATATTTTCAAGTGAAAATTTGCCCTGGTGCAGTAGTTTCTTACCTATGAACCTGCAAACTCTGAAGCTTCTGAAGACAATAGTCTGAAATACCACTCTTCCACTGATTCCCCACGTGTTCAACAACAGCCGTGGTCTATAAAATATAATATAATTTTTAAAATTTACCATTATATTACATATTTAAATGTATATTATAAAATACACACCTTTAAGTCTGTTTGTAGTTATACAGACATATTTACAATAATATTAATTAAAATTTCACATCTAAATTTTCCGCATTTATAACAGAATTTTATGATCTTCTGTATTTCCTTCTTAAAGAGGATTGTGCGGTGAATGCTAAAGATACAAGGAAGGCTGGGCACAGAGACCAGGACTGTAATCAGACAGACACTTGTGCATTGAGACAGCTTTGCTTCTGAAATCTGTTCAACGTCACGTGAAAGTGGCATTTAAGTAATTTAAGTGTGAATTTATTTTTTTTACACCTCTGACCTATAAATTCACATAAATAATAAAATGGGAAAACATTATGTTTTGAACTTTTAAAATAGTGTTTCAGGATTTGGTCATTAGAAAGAGGATTTTGCCAACTGATGCGTTGTCTGCTCAAATTGTGGCTTTAAACTTTTAGTTCAGTTGTGGCAGAGATTCAAGCTATCAGAATTTTCCTCACATTGTTCCCTTTGCATTTGCAAATGTACAAAGAAGGATATAATGGGTGTTGTGAGTTTATTAAGTACAATTACTAAATAATAACTAAGTTGGAAACATCCTAGGTTCATTGCTCGGAGCACAATTCCAACTTCTTCTAGTTGGTCAACTTCAATATATACTAAATATGGGATAATTGCATACGTGTTATTGATATTGCTATTGGTAGGACCCTTCATAAGCAGCAGAAGGTGAGTTTTATAGCGTATAAAAGTCTGGACCAGCATCTCCTGCTTCCAATAGGTCAGGAACGTTTCCAGGGAGGAGACTCTTAGACATGAAGGCTGAACTCTCTGCTAGGTCATGGAGAGAAAGATGAAGGTCATTCCAAATAGAGGATAAAAAATATCCATGTGTTCAGATTAATAGCCGGTTATACATCAAAAAGGGGGCAAACAAGGTTTACAGTAAATAAAACTGGAGTGGTTAGTGAGGGGTCAATTACACGGAATCTAATGTCCGAATTAGAGAACCTATGTTTGCTTCCTTTGTGCCAAGCTGGATCAAAGTCACCATCATTTTGTGTTTAGCCTTTGGACTCCGCTGTTCTGCTCCTTCCTAAGTTCTCTAAAGGAGCAAGTAGAGTAGCTTTTGGTTACAATCTATGTAAGCAAATACACTACTTGCTTCACAATTTGAACTCATTAGTAGAATCTTACAAAGTTCAGTCACTACTAGGAATTTACTTTTTATTGAAGTTATTTTTTTCTTGCAGTATATTATTCTGATTTTGGCTTCCTTTCTCTCATCTCCTCTCAGATCCTCTCCACATCCCCACCCATCCAACTCCATGCATTCTCTCTCTGTCTCTCTCTCTCTCTTTAGAAAAAAAAAGCAGGCAGAAAAGAACAGAAAAATAATAAAAAGCATGAAAAAACACATACACAGAGAGACACAAAGAAAATAAAATCCATGAAAAAATAAAATAAGAAAACATAATATATGAACAAAAGACAAATAAGGTTTAAAATGCCCAAACACATAAATATGAATTGAAAAAAAAATTCTCCAAAATTAATATTGAGTTGGTTTTATGCCATCAATCTGCTGTTGGGCCTGTGGCCTGCCCTTAGTTATGGTTCGTGTACCCAGTAAAACTGCACCGAAGAGCACAGGTTGTTTGCAAACAGCTGTCAGTGGTTAGTGATAGGAGCTTGTGTCCCCTTCTACTGCCAGCATTGTGACCCCATCTAGCCTAGACCTGTGCATGTTTCCATAGTCTGCAAGTGTGCGTCAGCCCCGCTGTGTCTGGAAGACGCTATTTCCTTGGAGTCCTCTATCCCCGTGGGCGTTTACAGTCTTTCTTGTGCACCTAGGAGAGATAATTGATAGAGACATCCCATTTAGGGCTGAGTTTTCCACCGTCTCTCAGTGTCTGCACATTTTCCAGTTGTGGGTGTCTGTGTTAGTTCGCATCTACTGTAGAAGGAAGTTTCTCCGATGATAACTCAGACACTGGTCAAATGGTATAGAAGAAGGTTGTTTGCAGTCATTTTATTGCTATGTTCCTTTAGCAGAAGAGTGAGTTCTACTGGGTTTTCCCCTAGACCCGAGCCCTATCTACTGTCAGGTTGTTATTCCTTGGAAACTACAGCTCCCAGACTTCTCCTGGATTACCGTCACCTGTGTGCGCGCTGGCCGCGCCCAGGTGAAGGCCACTCCTCCCAGATAACCTTGCGCCCCCCGTTAAAAGCGAAGGTCCACGAGGCTTCGCTCTCTTGGCCCCCCTCTTGGCCCTTTTCCCCCTACCCTTGTGTGTCGCACGTCCCACCCCTTACTGTGTTCCCCTCTCCCCATTAAAACGCACCCACGTGGGAACCGCGTGTCTTGTCCTTCCTTTGCGCGTGTCCCGTCTATCCTGTGTTCGTCCACACGCCCGCGCCCGCCCCGCCGCCGTTTTAAAGGAATAATACAGGGCTCCATCTCACTGAGTAGACCTTATGGTTACTTTAACAAGTTTATGCATTGTGCAGTTTATCATGCGGGCAGGCCATCACTGTAGACCTCAGGACGTGTAGCTGGACTGGTGGTTAACAATCCCCCGGAAGTGCGCGAAGCGCCTTCCAGTACTATTAACTGTTGGCGACAGGGGTGAAAAGGGCTCTAGGCAGACACCGGCTTGACTTCTCCATGGTCTATGAGAGATGTAAGTGTGATCTTCAGCAATAGGGACCGTCCCATCAGCTTGTGGAGAATAAACAATAGCTCTCGCAGTAGCCTGAGTATCTTAGGGGTGTCAATGGGGCGCCTTTGTTCAAACACTTAATTAAACGAAACCAATTCCTTGCTCTGGAGATATAGGTTGGTGGCAAAAGATGTCTAGCAGCAGTCCTGTTATCTCCGCGTTCATTGGCGTTTATGTTTTATGTTTATATGTTAACAAGCTTCCATTGTACGTAGGTTTCATCCGTTTACCTGTGGATTTCATGATTTCACTTTTTTGGCACAGAGAGGGGAGACTTTGGGGTGGGTACCACCTCTTGGTTTTAGGAAGAGGCATGGTGCTACCAGTTGCTGAGGAAAATAAGGGAGGTGTTACCACAGCTGGGATAGGTCAGAAGGCTCCTGGAATAACCTTCATATCCAGGGCAGCTCAAAATCCCCAATGAATCTGCGAGAGCCAGCCTCAGAGATTACAGTCACAGGCCATCATACCAGACCTAAGATCTTCCTTCTAATCTCAAGTAGCTTCCCAGAGGAAGTGACTTGTCTAAATGACCCACATTCTCCACGCCTAGAAGGTTCCTAGGATTGTCTTTGTGGATGTGAGAATCCTAATCAAATGTGCTGGGAACCAACACATAATTTCACTTTTTTAAACAAGTAGACAATATTCCATTGTGCAAATCTACCACATTTTAATAATCCGTTCATCTGTTGATGGGCATCTCGGCAGCTTCCAGTCTCGGCAGGAGCAGTGGACGTGAATGAACAGGTGTCACTGTAGTAGAGTACAGATGGAGTCCTTTGGATATGTGACCCAGGGTGTCACAGCTGGATCTCCTCCCAGCTTCCCGAAGATCTGCCACACTGATTTCCAAAGTGGGAACACAGTTTGCAATCCCAGCAGCAATGCAGGAGTGCTTCCCTTACCCGCATTGTCACCAGCATGAGGTCTCATTTGTTTTACTCCTTTTTGCCATTCTGGCTGGTGTAAGACACAATCTCTAAGTAGTTTTGATTTGCATTTCTTCAGAAGGCCCTTTGCTGCCTAAACGCTGCCTGTCTGTTGTTCCTGCCTACTTCCCACTGCCCACATGTCTACTATCCCAGTACAGGTTCCTCTTCTGGATTCCTCCCAGATCCTTGTAAAATTCACTCTTCCTTGATGAGCTTTTGCTCAGATGATATTGAGCAGAGGCCCTCCTGTCTAATTTTCTTATATACACGTATGACATTAAGTCTCACTTTCACCCCTAAATTTACACGTAATACATGCGAAATATTATCTTCATTATCTAGTAGAATATACATAATACATAATATTCTTTCTTATCCTGAAGAATATAAGCTCAGATTTTATTCGTGGGTA